AGTACTTGTCATTCAGATGATCGAAGAAGTATTTAAATAAGTGTGGTGGTTCTGAAGCTTATAATTTATTTACAAAATAACGTATATTTATTTTATTTTAATTCCATGATATTACAATAAGGGTTGGGATAATATTATGTCAAGAGGACCTGGACCCTGATGAACGCAAGTTACGATACATATTAGAAAGTCCTTGAGATACTTTAACTATTTTCCATAATACTTTTCTGATTTATGTGTATGTGTCTAATTTATTTTACTAATTTTATTTTTTAACTTTTTTAGTTATATATCAATAGCACGAGTATATATTATTCCGATAATTTATTATATATTTATATCGACATTGTCAGAGGACTAGATGAGTGTAAAGTAAGTTTGGAATCAAAAAGTACTAATCTGATTTTTAATCGTACAGAATAAATAAGTTTTATTATCTCCTCTTTTTCTTGTAGAAATCTTGCAAAATAATTTGCATATTTCCAGTATATCTAAATATATGGAAGAATTATTCTTATTACATGGTTTTTTAAGAGAAAACGCGCTAGATCAGTGACAAATTAATTGTAACATAATTTAACAATTAAATAGAGTTAACGTTACAGGTACATCCGATATGTAACCAAAATAGCTATACATGTGTGTGTAGTAGATAACTACGAATGTTTTACAATGGGATTGTTTATGGTATAACGACACTTGGATTCGCTCCGATAAATGTGATCAAATCGATAAGCCATACATAGACTTGTAGACGTATAGCAAACTGTTGTAACTGTATGATTCGTAAATACGTATTTCTACGCACAAAGGATATGTAACAGAAAGTATGAATATCCTTTATGTATATTATGAAAAATTTACAAATAATATTCATTATAATGAATATTGTTATTGTATGTTTAAAATATTATATGATTTATAAATTATCTATTATTATTCACCTACCTACATACTGAATACGAAGCATTTGCACAAATACGTAAAAATATACATTCATAATATGAATGAAGATCATATAAATTTGTTATTAATAATATATTCAAATATTATTTACATAGAAATGTATATACTCTTAATAAATTATAATTTCAGCAGAATTTATACTGGTTTTGTTGATACATGTTTGTACGCAAACACGTGTTAACTGTTAATTTTTATGAAACTGAATATTTAAACGGAAACTCACCAATGCCGGTTGAGTGCGTCTGTCTCAAGTGAAGAGTCTGATGGAAGGTAGCTGTCATAGTGACAACTGAGGCTGCTCTGAGACATTCTACATGGCACTCAGTGAGTCTTATTCACTAAAAGTATAGATCAGCGAACTAATGTAATTAATAATTTGCACGGGGGCATGCCGCACTGTACAGCATGCTCCACACCTATGCGGAGGCGATTGTGCATCTTATAAGAGAAGGTTCGGCTGCGAGTGAGCCACCCGCCGCGCCTCACCCCGGGCACGTGACTGCCTCTGTTCGTAGAGTTTCGCCGGCCGGCTGGCCGGTCATTGGCCGACGAATAAAAAGTTGCTTCAAGCACAACAGTAAACTCTTTGCCATAGAATTGCACTAATCATTGCCTGGGGCGGGTTGCCGTGTTGGAAACGAGGTGACAACTGAGTGAATAAGCCCGCGCCCCGCGGCGCTGTTGCTCTGTTTACATTATTGGTTGCTAACAACTGAAACATCGGTCGTATGGCTACGTCTGCGCCCGCGCCCGCACCCGCTCCCGCACCCAAGACCTCCGAGCCTTCTGCCCACATAAGTTTATGAATGTCGCGGCATACACTGTAGCGATAAAATGCACGAATCCGCACAATCGATTACATGTGGTTCTGTAATTATGGAGACATATTGCGGATAAAATTTCCATCATGACTTGCAGCCTGCCTATTATAGCTAGATAATAAGATATTGTACTACGTTATTCTATGTATCGGCAATTAAACCGTATAGATATAGTGATAATAATATGTCTCTTAAATTGAGATCTTATTATCAAATTATCTTATTCACAAATTATAAAAACAATTACTTTAAGAGAAAAGCTCGTATGAAAAATGATAGAGGTTATTCTGATTAGAATAACTGTAGATTGTTTTTACTTGTTGGGTATCACATATTGCACATGTGATTGTAAGGGACCCATAAGCACTTGTATTTGCAATTCTGTTGATGGATTATTAGGAAAATATGTTCTTTAATGTATTAGACTTTCAATGTCGTATTGGTTCGGATATATTGATGCTGCGAATTGGTTACGTATACTCGTTGAGTGGTATGCTTAGAAGATAGGGAATAACTAGATCGATTATGGCTAATTTTTCTCACAGATATCTATTAAGAAGTAGTATTACTACTATTGAAAAGCCGGAAGTAGTAACATATTTTTTATCTCATCTTTGATTCACCGCGCTGTTGTTATAGTTATATCTATTTTATAAGAAGTTTTGTTTTATAAGGGATATTTAATTAACTTCAATTTATTATACGTAAGTATTCTTTAATCAAAGGGGGTATCTTGTTGAAACATTTGTATTAAAATGTACCTTTAATGAGATGTCGGAATATGGTGGTATCAGGGATGTTTGAATGCGAACCTGGCTGAAATATTTCAAATGTTAATTTACAATTTTTTTAATATAATAGTTCTGTCTGACTCTTTGGCGATGAAACACCGATATGAAATCAAATTAATCACAGAGACTACTGTAGGTTCGCAAACAGTTGTAAAATTACCCTTTCTGTAGTTAGGGAATAAACGTTAAATTGGAGTCTGCTTATGGTATGATTCTAAGCTAAACTAACTTGATACCTTGGTACGTTTTGTTTATATTATCTACAACTATACGTACAATTATTTATATTTTATTCACGAATATATGTATTGATATATATATATATATCAATAGAAGATACGTTTAATAAAATTGGTTCATTATAACAACAATAATTTCAGTTATTCATTGTGAATCGTAGGCCTGCTTCAAAGATCACTTGGCAAATATTTGCTCATATTGAAATATCAATATATTCTAATGATAAGGTATTTTACAATATAAAAGAGTATAATATAATGTTTTACTCTGATGAGAAAATATAAATGAAATGTTCAAATTATGAACACGAGAAAAGGTAATTACTGCACATTGCTGAAAATACAATAGAAGACAATGATGACAATAGAAACCGAAATCATGTGATTGTTTGTTAATTGTTCTGTAGGAATTCTGTTAATGCTATGTCACTCAGTTATCCTTATTTGCATCATTATTATGAAAAATGTTATAATTTTTGAACACATCTAATAACAATATATTTTTGTCAATACAACTATGCATTATGTTACTTCGCTTTTTAAATTTGAATAAAATATTTAAGTAATTAGTAGTGGATTCCAAAACTTAATTTCTCAAATACCAATTATGATATGTATTAAAAATAACATGAATAAGGAGCGAATATTGAAGTTTGTTTTATTATTTTTACGACTAAACCTCTAAGTACCAAACGCATAAATGAATTCTATGTTGAGTTGATACAATATATGCCTTTCACAAAACATATTCACTCACGTGACGAGCTCACAAACCTACTGTAACTATATACTTTATTATGTATTTATATGTAGTATGTTTATGATTAACTAGTGAAAGGTAGTTACAATACTTGTATGGCGCTGTCAAATGAATAATGTTCATAACCAGTGACTCACTAACTTATATTTTATGCTATACATAAAAAAATACGTTACACATCGAGAGCTCACAAAAAAATATCTAATCACTACAAATATTCCGTTACGTACACACATTGTAAACCTCTGTTAAGAAAGCTTTGAACAGTGTTAAACGTTAAGTTTAATATAACATTATTAAAAATAAGTATATAGGTGTTTAAGTTATTTCTATAAATGTTTAGTAAATAGACCCATTTCTACATTGAGCAAAAGCAAAATATATATGTAATTTAATTTTTAAAATCAAATCAAATGTAGGCAGCAAAAACATAATATCTTTGTTTTTATTGCAACTGTACTGTTAAAAATAATTTGTCTACTTAATCGAATTAAATATTACCTATACAAGTTGGTTAGGTACTCTTTGCGGTTAGGTTTTGCTATTTAATAATCAATCTGTTTTTGTTATCGATTGAATTCTGTTTGAATTGAATTCTGTTTGAGTTCTCTTGAATTTAAAAAAAAAATGTTTTGTATAACATTTTAACGGCTGATATTCTTTCAGAAAACCATTTGAATGATGTATGAATTTTATAATGTTTATATGCTTAGCTAATTATAATATATTTCGTATTTTAAAATTAGTAAAGAAGATTTCATTTCCATTTGAAGCTAATATTTTTTTTACCATCACAATTCAGTGATTGTTTTATATGATTTTAATTATAATTTATTTATAATATTGATTATTCCATTTAAAGTTTTAGTTCTTTCTAAGGGCTATTCAAACAAATATTCAGAGAATCAAAAATCGTTTTTGTAAATTAACAGATAACATAGATGTTGCGAGATAAATCACCTATAAGTTAATCACTATTTATAATATTATAATGTATGTAGATAGGTACATCGATTTTATAAAAATCCAGTTGAAATTCTTGGCAGTTTAATTGAAATAGGTATCCTAACTGGATGGTTGAGTTAGTAATAGAGTTAATGTCTTATACACATATGTATATAGTACTTTGGTGAAGTACGTGAATACAATTTATTCAGATCAATCAATTTAGACCGAATACATAAGCGAAGTTTTTGGTAAAAAATATTTATATACGTATGGTATATATACATTAATTATATAAAAAGTACAAAACCATAGATATATGTGATTTATGTTCTAATATTTTGTTGCATAATAAATATATATGTGATTTATGCACATATATATTTATCATGCAAAAAAGTATTATATTATCAAATAATATAAACGTCTGATAAATTTTGTCATGCAATAAGTTTAGATACGTGACAGAATATTATACCTTTCGGATGGCAGATTTTCTCTATCTTTGCTGCTCTCGTCTGCCATAATGGATACTTTTCTTTTACCGTCTGGTGTGGTTGCTCTTGTTACCAAGTCAGTGGCAGGTACAAGTGTATTTGACGGTGGGTCTGTGAGTGGCACCGGCGCAGTCGCAGGCGCAGACACAGCAGTAGATTTCTGCTCACCTCCGTCGTTAGGCTGGTTCTGAAGATCACTCAAGTCGAAAGGATATTCTTTTATCGCAGTCATTCGGATACTGGTTTTTCGCACCTGAAATTAAAGGAAAGTGTTTTGATAAGTAATAAGATAAGTATTGATTACTACATCTGTTGACTGTTAGATTTGTAAAGTATAGTAAAATGACTTATTTGCTGTTAACTCGATAACGTTATAAGTATTGTGCTCCTTATAAATCTGTTTAACTTCTTATTAATATTATTAGTATTATTTTAATTACCGACAACATCCAAATGACAGGATACGGAGGCATTGTACCTCCGGAATGGCAAAGTATGAATGGTGGTATACCATAGGTAATAACTCGATGACCATGGTGCTTTTCATATAGGCGACAGTTACCATTTACCATCAGGTGAGCGGTCTTCTTTGCATTGCCATACCCAATCCATCCCAACCATATTATAGAAATAAAGGCCTATAGGTACTCCATCCTAACGAATGTTTGTGTTTAATCTAAATAAGAAATTGTTATGTTTGCAGTGGTTATAAATAGAACTGTTATTTCATCCTTTGAATTACATTGATTTACATGATTTGTTTGTAACGTACCTAGATTATACCATGGTAACTTTATTTCAATGTTCAATTTATTCAATTATCTTTAAGTGACTACTAGTAATTGAATAAATAAAATCATTTCATTGTTTTTTTTAAACCAATGACAATTACTTAGTCTTTACAAAGACATGTACAATACTTTTGATATACTATAATACTTTTCGTATCGTAACTTCTGGATAAATTGTGTTATTGACGTTCTTATTTTGCTTTTTAAATTATTATCTTCGTTTATTCATTATTCTAATGCTATTTTATTCTTCTAAACACAGGTACCTACATGTACCTATCGTAAATAAAGTTTTATTAGTAGTAAATGTTACATTGCCTATTTGGTAACTGGCTGGGTAATAAATGTTGAGGAAATAACGCTTACGGACGGCACAAATATATATTTAGTTATCCAACCAATGATAGTGATAACTAGGATACGGCCCGTCTGATGGTAAGATATTGTCGTAGCTCATTGTTGCCTTAGAAAAACAATTACATACTATACTAAGATAATTTAATATATCTACGTAGAATGAAAAAGAATGAGTATATAAAATTATTTAAGTTTTTATAATTAATTAATCTTAAATTAGTTACTGTCTTCATTAAGTCTACGTTTTGTTACAGTTTTTATAGTTGATCAATAAAGATATTTAAAAAGAAAATTACTGTGCGGAAAATCGAATAACAAAAAGAAAATGAATATTAAATTTGTGATAAATCATGGCAAAATCAATATTTTTTGAAAATTTAAAATACTTATTATGTATTGATAATGAGAATCGTTATCACTAGAGGAGCTATCTGTTTAGAGCATTAAATAAAATTTGTAAATTCAATTTAAAATAATATATAATATACCTAATTATTATGCATTGAAGGGGAATATAGATTTAAAGAAGATGTATTTATCTATAGATAACGTCTTTAAATTGATGTATACAGTACTTATATACTTAACTCAATTGTGTATTTTTGACATTGTTATTCATTATTATAATATGAAACATAAAATAAAAAATTGAAAAAAACTACACAGAATTATTTAATATAAAAATGCACAAAGTAATGAACTAAGATATAAAGAGGCTTTTTCGAAATTAAGTAGTACATAACTACATACAAGATCAAAGCAAACAGTGCGTGCCGCCGCAATATGATTCTCACGTATATATATATATATATATATATATACGTATTCTCTCTGCACGTCTTTCACGCGTAGGTATTGCTCGAGTTCCGACTGTTGACTGAAATTGTAAAGCGTGGTCTATCCTGAAAATTACCAGTCATTGATAGTGACATAAGTGCTCGGAATACGGATCAAGTTAAGGCACTGTTCCATAAAGGAATATGTTACATATACATGATGGTCGATACTCTATTTTGTTGCTTCGAGAGCAAAATAATAATATATACAGTAAATTCTTTATACAGGAGTAGATTCTTTATAGTAGGAGTGAAATTTTGCAAATTCATTTTCAATGGAGATTGAAGTTAACATGTATCGGTATGAAATATAAGAAGCAATTTAAATAAATCCACAATTTATTAAGATAATAAAATACTATCCAGCCATAATCAGCCTTATATATTACAATATAAACTAACTATGATGAGATTAACAAAGAATATTTATTTTTAATCCCTAAAAATAAATAAGTATATTATGAACTACTATGTGACCGTTTCTTTAACGCCTGCTTATTTTAAAACCGCAATGTAGCGGCGAAAATTTTGTTGCTAGAAGTAACCTTAATAATATACATAAAAATATCTTAATAAGATTTATAACAACGTTTAGTTCGTGTTTACCACTAAAAATAGAAAACATGTTATTTAGTTTATATCATTATCTCATAATATAAGACAAAACTATATTTTAAAGTACAATGTACATTATCAGTAATTAGACACCATTGAGGTTTTAAAACATTACGATGGGTTATTTTATAACTTATGATGGCTTATTTTATAACAGGCATTTTAATATTAGCATTTTATTACACTATGTTTAATGACTTAATTATAGGATAATGGTACGTTTGTACCTGTGAACCTGAAAACGAATGTTTTAATTAAGTATTATTTATTTTCAGATAATAGTACAATAATCTAAAGCTTTTAAAGATGCACGACGCACATGTAATCAAAATATCTAAATTATGACGAAAAACTCGTAATCGCGGCATCGGCAGCGCGTTTTATAAGGTACCTAACTGACCCGCGTCTACTTAATCTGCGTCACCCTTTTCTTCTTTTCGCAACATTTTTTATTCCTGTTCCGCTCTTATTAGTTATAGCGTTATGTTATACAGCCGATAATGGGTTATCTAATAGTAAAAGATTATTTTCAATTGGAAGTAGTAGTTCTTGACATTAGCGCATTCAACCAACAACCAACCAACTCCTAAGCATTATTCTGTTAGCATCTCTTTGTATATATATCAGCAAAGGTGTAATTAAGCATGTACCTAATATTACAGGCAATATATAAGTAAATTTAATGTAACGAACAGTTTGACTCAACTATTGTTTAAAAGGTCGTTTAAAGCGTCGATATATTTAATTGAGTAGGTAAATGAGTTCGAATATTGACAGTAGTGGTTGTCAGGCTGTCGCCGAGTATTTATTTGCTTAAGTGGTCTCATCACAATCACATGATCGCTCACGAGGAGCCGACCACGAGTTCTTAATCAGTTAGTGTATGCGTGTGTGCTGCCGGCTGCCACGCGCCTCTTTACGCTTATCGTTATTGGATTGCTCATCCAATCAGACTCACGACTCATTTGTTATGAGACCTTAATTAAAAAGGTAAAGGCCGTTGACTTTAGTGAATACTAAGCGTTACTCTAGAATTTCCTCGTTACAGGCAGAAATGTAAGAAGTGTAGTTATGATTTTTTTTAAAACGAACGTAGTTTTTATTTCTTAAATAGTTACTACACAATATTTATAAGTACTACAGTTTAAAATTTTGTTTATGAAAATATGTTTTAAATTCCTGCTATTTTCCAGACTATTTTATGAAGAATATTTAATTAAGTTTTTATAAAAATATATTATATTTTAAAAAATGTTAAAAATATTATTAAAATTAATTACCTAAATTCGATTTTATGGTAGAATTAAATATCAAATTATAAAAACGCGCTAACTCTTCGTAACGGAAAGGTGGACTGTATTGGTGTCTAAAGGATATTTCCAACGGCCATCTCTTCTTGAGGATCGGTCCTCAGTACTCAGGTACTGCAAAACTTAAGAACTTATCTATTATGTTCTATCTTTATTACCTTTGATTTTAAGAACAAATATTACAGATTATAGTAGTCATTCTCATAATTACCGCGTTAAAGTAATGAACAAAGATGACAAACAACGTATTTGTTTTGATGCCCATTATTCTTAGTAACAAGCTATTTTGACGAGATAATAAGAGCTCGTTAAATTAAACTTCACAATATTCTTCCCAGCTTGCATATTCAATGCAATTCAATTGAACTACATATAGGTCCAACACAATTGAGTTATAGACAGCTAAACGAATTTCAATAATAAATATTGATAATGTAAAGCAATAATTTGTAATAAAATATTAAAGTATGCCGAACTTGACGTTTGTATTCACAGATAGAGTTACAATATGTGTATAGTCAACGTAGAATCATTCATTATGACATTATCGTCTTAAAATTCCACGCGTACAAATTTGTGAGCTCAGCTAGTTTATGAATGTAATCCAATTTTCAGAACAATAATTAAATAAGACTTTTTATGTACTAATAATTTTCTTAAAGTATGATTATTTATCCGTAGATCGGTAGATAATTCTCATATGCATAGTTGAGTGTTTTTTAATGTATTTTAAATAATATTTTTTTACATATGCATATAAGTTAAACACGGCCTAACGAATTTGATATATATTACTGCTATTAAGGTATTTGAAATAACCTTGATAACTAAATGACCCTCGGGGTGGTAAAGTAAAATATAGTTTCCGAATAATTATTTCCTATTGTTTTAGACACATGGATACAGACACAGTATTTTATTTCATATAAAATTATGATTTTAATATCCTACTAAAATATTATATAACCAATAAAATTAATAAATGACATCTTAGTGCCTTAGTAAATCATATTATATCTAACATTACAATTTTTTCGAGAAAATCTAAAAGAACTTACACCCAAAAGGGCGTGAGTTTAAAACTGGCCAACACAAAAAAAAACAAATTATATTATTAATAAGCACTCTATCAATGTCACACATTTTTTTGTAACTGCTTATTAAGTGCCTCACCAGGCAAAGGAGTATGACAGGACGACGATGAAATCAAGTACATCGTGGCAATTTCATTACAAATTAAAAAATTACGGTAGTTTCCGGGGGGGACTGCGAGGTTTTGACCGACCGACAGGTCAAACTAGCAGGATATATTATTAGCAAAGAGGTCACTAGCGCCCAATACTG